CATTAGGACTAATAAAAACAATCTAAAGCAAAAATACATAATGTTGAAATATTGTCCTTAAAGTCCTGGACAAAAGAATAGTCTTTACTATTGTAACTTATGTCCAACATTGCACAGGAAGATTCACTGACTATTAATATTAGTAAAATAAATAACTGATGTAAAAGTTAGATGACAGACTATTTTTTATAGAGAACATTAAAAATATACAAGAGCATTAACAAACTATTAATAAGAGAATTATGTAAGATTCCTGGATAGTAGACTAAAATAAAAGTAATTTATATTTCTATTAATTAGCAAAAATCAATTAGAAAATATAATTTTAATATGCCATTTTAAAGCAACAAATACATGTTACTAAGGAATCTAACTTGATGTGCAAGGCCTTTACTGAGAAAAGTTTAAAACTTAACTGAAAGATGTTTAAAGACACAAATAATCTTTATTAATATAGTCAATGCTATAAAGACGTTAATCCTTCTTAAATTTACCTATAAACTCAATGTAATGCCAACCACATTTCAAGGTCTTCTACGGAATCTATGAGCTTATCAAAACATTAATTTTCAAGAGTAAAAGGCCAAGAATAACAAGATGATTTCCAAATAGTTGGAAAAGGAACAAGTTGGAGAACACCTCCTAGCTGGTCTCAAAGTTTATTGAGCCTTTGCAGTTTGTGCAGTGCTGTACTGGAGACCATTGTCAATACCCGCTTAAGTCTCAGCAATGTAGTCCTTTGGGACAAAAGCTGTCATCAATCACAGCTAGAAAATCCAAATAAAATACAACAAAACAGTGTTTAAGAGCATCAGAGATTCAAAGAAACAAAGACTAGAGCAGTGATGGCGAACCTTTTGAGCTCGGCGTGTCAGCATTTTGAAAAACCCTAACTTAACTCTGGTGCCATGTCACATATAGAAATTTTTGATATTTGCAACCATAGTAAAACCAAGACTTATATTTTTGATATTTATTTTATATATTTAAATGCCATTTAACAAAGAAAAATCAACCAAAAAAATGAGTTCGCATGTCACCTCTGACATGCGTGTCATAGGTTCGCCATCACTGGACTAGAGGGTGAAGATTTCAGAGCAGGAGATCCATCGAGAGGTGGGCTGATGTTATGAATGTTGGTTTTTCTCTGGGCCATTTTCTGATTGGTCCAGGTCAAGGGCTAAATATATGGGCTTTCCTCTGGCCAAGGCTGATATATGGGGAAAGGAGAAACCAGCTGAGCTTTTGTGGGTCTTGTGAGGCTAGAGAGAGAAAAATGGAGCATTGAGTAGGTCAGGGTTCAGGGGAGTGGTAGAGATGGGGGAAATTAGCCCAATGGATATCCATGTTGTACTCAAGCTATTTTAATTTTGAAGCTGGGAGGGCAGGAGGCCAAATCTTTAGGCTGAAAGCCCTAAAATAAAAGCAGATATTTTAGTAATTGCAGTGTGCTAAAGCAATTAAATATTGGAGTTTAATAACCACCAGGGAAAGGCAGCAGTGAACACCTCAGTATCTCAGTGAAAAGCCCTAGAAATCTACACCCTTGGAACAGGGTTCAACAGAGGTTGACCAAGCTTTACCTATATTCTAGCCCAGCTTTCACTAAATTGTGTTTGGATTCAGTGAAACATCCCCATGTCCACCTGTTCAGCAGAGGCAAAGGTACAACTTTCTGCAGTTTTTTTTAAAAACATATGATAGGTGTTTAATTAAAAGCTTATTAATCATACCAAGTGTCTCTGCAATGTATTCTTGTGTAATAGATTTCCAAATGCAGCAGTAACAATTTATTATTATTTCCCACATACATATTTCATGGAAAGTTTGGTGTCTCTTCACAAAGTTAACATACCTAGATAACCTTTAGGAATCTTTGTGGAATTACTAAGTCCTCTTTCCTTTCCAAAGGTAATGCATTCCGGACTCCAAGTATGGATTAGTTTTGCCTGATTTTAAACTTTATGTAAATGAAATCATTTAATATGCTTTCTTTTTTGTGTGTCTCTTATTTTGTATCATTGCAACTTAAAAAATATATATATATATATTTATTGATTTCAGAGAGAAAGGGAGAGGGAGAGAGAGAGATAGAAACATCAATGATGAGAGAGAATCATTGATTGGCTGCCTTCTGCATGCCCCCACTGGGGATTGAGCCTGCAACTCCAGCATGTGTCCTTGATAGGAATCTAACCTGGGACCCTTCAGTCCACTGAGCCAAACCAGCTAGGGCACAACTTTTTCTTTTCTCTTTAAAAAAATTTTTTTAAATTGATTTCAGAGAGGAAGGGAGAGGGGGAGAGAGATGGAAACATTAATGATGAGAGAATCATTCATCAGTTGCCTTCTGCTTGCCCCCCACTGGAGATGGAGCATGCAACCTTGTATGAGCCCTGACAGGGAATTGAACCATGACATCTTGGTTCATAAGTTGACGCTCTACCACTGAGCCATGCTGGCCGGGCAACTTTTTCTTTCTTTCTTTTTCTTTTCTTTTCCTTTTTTTTTTTTTAACCATTTCCAAATCATCTACCCCCTTCACCTATTTCATTCTATCTTCAATCAAATAATTTATACACTTAACCTAAAAAATATCTTTGTTCTGAGGACCAATGAATTTCTGGAAGTGAAACACTAGTTTTAAATCATAATTAGTTTGCACATTAATTAATGTGTTACTCCTGAGTGAGTCACTATTTTAATAATAACTAATAAAAGGAGAATGGAGGCAAATGCAAATAAATATTTCAACTAGTAGTTCTTTGTTATAGCAGCAAATATCTACTATATAGCAGCACACTGGATCACAGTTATACCTCACTCCCACCTGTCCTTTAGCCTCAGAGGGAAAATAATCAGTGAAGAAGAGAGGGATTATCTGAGTTTAAGTATGATTTATGACAAATGAGTTATATCATCAGAGAGCAGCAATCAAATCTTCTTCATAAATTCTCTATAAACTTGAGGAGATCTAAATTTGAAAATATAATGAATTTATGGAAACTTTGCTCTCCAAATAGGAAATTACAATTTACTTTTTTCATTTTGCTTACTGCAGAGGCTGTTTTCACAAGTGTCTTCTTTTCCACACATAGAGCAGGATGCTCCTTCAGTGTAAGGGCGGGTCCCTGCATAATTTCCTCTGTAAAAAAGGGAAACATTGGGTAGCCAAATGGCTATTTACTCTTCTAATTTACTTATTTTTTTGGTTGCTCATTAAGCATGAATGTTGAAAGGAAAATGACTTTTGTCCCAATTTTATGCTAATCTATAATAATAAAAGCGTTAATATGCTAATTAGACTGGACAGCCAAACGACCTTCTCGATGTCATTATGGACGTCCTTCCAGATGAAGCCGTGGCAGCAGGGGCTGAGGCAGAGGTGGTTAGGGGCAATCAGGCAGGCAGAAAGAGGCAATTAGGGGCAATTAGGCAGGCAGGCAGAGGGGTTGGGGGCAATGAGGCAGGCAGGCAGAGTGGTTAGGGGCAATCAGGCAGGCAGGCAGAGGCGGTTAGGGCAATCAGGCAGGCAGGCAGAGTGGTTAGGTGCAGTCAGGCCTGCAGGTGAGTGGTTAGGGGTGATGAGGCAGGCAGGCAAGTGGTTAGGGGTGATCTGGCAGGCAGGCCAGCAGTTAGGAGCTAGCAGTCCTGGATTGTGAGAGGGATGTCCAAGATTGTGAGAGGGTGCAGGCTGAGCTGAGGGACCCCCCTTCCCATGCACAAATTTCGTGCACTGGGCCTCTAGTTTCTACTATAAAAAGCTACTTTAAAACTGTTCTTTATAGCATGTTCTCAATATGTCAAAGTTATATTCTATAAAATAAAATTTTTATTGATAGAGATAGAGAATAGAAGGGAAGGGAGAGAGAGATAGAGATTAATTTGCTGTTCCACTTATATATTCATTCATTCATTGGTTGGTTGATTCTTGTATGCGCCTTGATTGGGTATCAAACCCACAACCTTGGCAGGTCAGGACGACTCTCTAACCAACTGAGCTACCCAGCCATGGCATTATATTCTTTAATATTCTATAAAACATAAATTAGATATGAACCCAGTGTAATTATGTATGTGACAGCCAGTTATTTTTTTGTAGCTTATAATTGTTTCTGGATTTTTTTATCTAATCTCACAATCTCTGCCTTTTCATTTGGGTGTTTGTAGCATTTATATTTGATGTGATTATTGACATAGTTAAGATTGAGGCTATCATCTTCTTATTTATTCTTTGTTGCATCTGCCGTGTTTTTCTTCTCTTTAAGTTATGCACGTGTCATACTCATTTCTGTTGCTAACTGAGAAGGAGTAAAATAAATACAGGAGGAGATATACACATTTGTACTCTCCGTAGCAATTTTGACATATCTCAGCTTCTTTTTATCAACCCTATATATTTATTCTGTGCTTGGATTTTCATCTTTTGTATATTTTACTTTAATATTTTTTTTTTGTTGTTAAATGGTTGGGTTGTGGATGGATTTTATCTTCTTTCTTGTACAGATCAATGGGATTAGAGCTCCACAATTTTATTTTTGTAGCCTCCCATTAGGCTTATGTTATATTTCCACTTAGATGCACAATAATAAAAAAGGCAATAACACGGTATTTTTTTCTTAGAAGAATGTGCTTTTCACTATCATTCAGAATTACTTGCTCATTTCAGTTATGGTATAGTATATTAGGAAAGCATCTGCAAGCCTATTTTGTGTTTCAGTTTTTAGTATAGCAACGCATTCTATGTTACCTGTTGTTCTATTTAACAAAGAATGTCCATCATTTTAACTCTGAACTTTAAATATCTCATGGTAAGTATAATTCTTTACACAGGTAATATTCTCTCACCACTTACTATTTTCATCTGTTTCTTTGATTATCATTATAGAGGGAGGCTTCATTTATGAAATATATACCTGCCTTTTTAGTCTAACTTCTTATTTTTGGAAATAATTTTTAACATTTATTTCAATATAAAATATTTTTAAAAGCAAAACAACTTACAGAGGTCCATAGTCACATACAAATATTGCAGTTGCAGCTCCCTGGAGTTGAGGACAAATTGCCATTGCACAACCAACTTTATATGAATCGGCCCAAACTACCTATAAAGAAAGGAATTTTAAAATAAAATATGCAAAACACCTCTATGAAACAATGCACTATGGGAATAACTATAATCTTAGTCATGCTCTAAAAGTGAGAATACATAAATTTTTATTAACTATTTTTCTTAATTTCTAATATTTAGTTTAAAACAATTTTTAAAAGGCTGCTTTCATGAGGGCTACCTAAATAGTTTTTCCTCACTGATAATTCTCATAAGTCAAAAAAATATAATATGTAGCCAAAATAATATATTTTTCTAGATGATTTATGAAAAAAATTATTTTCTTCATAGGTATAAATATAAACAATATTAAAATTACACTATAAATGAAAACAATGATACACTTTTATTTCTTTTTCTCTAAAAACTTCTACTTAGTTTATAACATTTTAAATTTTGTGGCCCTAACCATATTCTACTTTTGTCAAATTACAAAAACAGATAGAGATAGAGACTAAGAACATATTGCATTTATTGCAAAAAACATGCTTGCCATAAGGGTGCTGAATATTTTTGTTTCATTGTAAAGAATAGCAGTTATTCAAAAGAAGAAGATTTCTATGAAAAACTAACCATGGAGTGAGGCAGGGGGAGATAAAGAGTTGAAAACATTAGTATTCTTTTGTGACAATGATAGAGTGGAACTTTCTTCTATTGCTTAAATGAACAAAGGGAAAATACTTATTTATTCATTTGGAAAACAAAATAATGAAAGAAAATTGATATAGATTTTGATAACACAAATTACTTTTCTAAACCCATTTAATTTACAATTCAATTAACAAAATGTATTGGTACATTTTATAAAGTAATATATTAGTCACCATTTCCCATGACCTGCATATAGCTATAGTCAACAGTTTTTCAACATATATTTTAATGGCTCTTTGAGAGGCAGCAACAACTATTCTGAGAAGGATTTCTAAATTTACAGCATCCTGTTGTCAGACAAAATTTAAATGGAATAGGAGCATGAAAGCTGCTAATTTCTGTGTTCAGTGAACCTCTGATAAGAATGGCATGCTTTCAGACACTGTATGTTAATTCAACTTAGACAGATAAGTTTAGAGAAGAGAGCTCTTCTCTTGCTTAAATGGTCCATCCTAGGGGCTCCGTGTCATGCCTAAAATGTGTTTCCATTTCTCACCCAAAACTCTCACAACAACCAACCAAAAGAATTGTAAAAATTATAGGAAATAAAGGTCTTCCGGATACTGGACATATGACAACAAAGGATAATGCCTCCTGAGAGTTCAGGTTGGGGGAGGCTATGAATTATACAATTGTCTCAGCTTGTTGCTTTGAGAGCGTTTCCAGGCCATGACTGGTGGGGTAGGGGTGTTGAAGAAACCAAGAGGAGCCTAATGGATCCACATGGTTGAGAGACAGCTGAGAGTCTGTGGAGACCAAGGAGGCAGGAGTTTGGGTGGTGTAGTACCTCAGTGGTGAAAATCTAACAGTGACACTACTATGGATACCTCTAGGGGGTCCCCATCATCAATTCAGCAGAGCACTAATCAGAGCATGCATTTGAAGAACTACCCTAGACCTTGAAATGAACCATCTATAAAAAGTAAATAAAAGAATACAGGAGCTTACATTGGGCCAGGAGTAGGGCCTTTTCCACTAGCTCTACTAGCAAGTTTCATAATTTCTGGGCACTGGGTAGAGTAGGCAGAAGAATTTTGCCTCCATCTAATATATTTTAAAAGCAGGAACCAAAAGGATCAAACAAATTCCAGGTAACTTAACTGTATCCCAGAAGAGAATTCAAGAATATTATAGGCATATAAAAAAATGAAGCATCCAAGAAGGCAAGATTTATAAAGTTGAAGATATAATAAAACATATCTAATATTATAAGTAGCAGAAAATTTTACCCATAAGGAAGAGGGATAATCAATCCATTGAAACTACCCCAGAACTTACCTAGAGAAAACATTAGAATAATTATTGTAACTATCTCATATGGTTGAAAAGGTAGAAGAAAGGTCAAATATCCTTTTTTAAAAAAAAATATGTTTCTTTATTGTCAGAGAGAAGAACAGGAGAGGGAGAGAGAGATAGAAACATTAATGATGAGAGAGAATCATTGATCAGCTGCCTCCTGCATGTCCCCTAGTGGGGATCGAGCCTGCAACCCAGGCATGTGCCCTTGGCCGGAATCAAACCCACGACCCTTCAGTCAGGAGGCTGATGCTCTATCCACTGAGCCAAACTGGCTAGGGCCAAATATTCTTGATATAGTTACTGATTATGTAAAAAAGACAAAAATCAAGCTTTTAGAGATATAAACTTTAGTATATAAGATGAAAAATAAACTAAATGTTGTTAATAGTAGATTAAACATTAGAGAAGAAAAGATTAGTGAACTTAAAGATAAAGCAATAAGACTATTTGAAATTAATCACAGAGAGGAAAAAACTTAGAAAGAAAAGAGAACAACAATAATCATGGGGAAATTCAAGTGGCCATCAACATTGGTGAGTAGAATCAGGGCAGATAGAAGTCAGTAACAGAAATATTTCAAGAGGCAATATCCAGCATTCATCAAATTTTGATTTAAATTATAGATGTATAGTTCTAAGAAACTCAGTAAACCACAGCACAGAAAGGTGATGCAAATTTTAGTTAATTATGAAATGGCTCCAGATTTGTTGTAAAGAAAATGTTTTTTAACTGAAACAGAGAAAAAAAGGCACATTAAATAACACTGGAATAAATAAAAGATTGAGATTTCTTATTGGAATTAATGCATTGAGATGACAATGGAGTAATCTTTAAAGTTCAGAAAACAAAAGCTCCAGAGAATTCTATATCCAGTAAAACTATCTTCCAAATGAATGTGAGTTTTCAGAACACCCAAATGTAACTGGAAAGAAAATGCTAGTCCTGGTCGGTGTGGCTCAGTTGATTGTCATCCCATGCCACCAACAGTTTGCTGGTTGGATTCCAGTTGGGGCACGTGCCCTGTTTGTGGGCTCTATACCCAGTAGGGGGCATGCAAGAGGCAGCCAATCAATGTTCCACTCTCATATTGATGTTTCCCTCCTCCTCCTCCTCCGCCTCCTCCTCTTTCCTCCTTCTCTCCCTCCCTCCCTCCTTACCCCTTTCCCCCTATCCTCCTCTCTCCCTCTCCCCCTTCCTCTCTCTCTCTCCCTCCCTCTCTCCATCTCTCCCTCTCCTTCTCCCTTCCTCCCTCTCTAAAAATAAATGCAAAATATTTTAAAAAGAAAATGCTAAAAAATGTCTTGTGATTGCAATGTACATAAATAAGAATTATTAAATCAAATGTCAAATATTTACCTGTGTATAATGGCCACAAGCTTTGGAACAATGTAGAGTACTATAATTATAAATCATCTTTTCATTACACCAAAGACCAATAGCAAATTCCGGTTTAAATTGGTATGATCCACCTAACCAAATATTTTCTCCCACATATTTAAAAGTTGGATGACACTGATATGGTTTTTCTGAGCAGGTCTTGCGTTGGTATTTGCACTTGTTTGCCCATGCTTTTGCAGTCTTGGCTAAACCTTCATCCCAAGACTGAAAGACAAAAATAATTTAAATTGAATTTTGCATATTCATTTGCATTGATGTTATCTAATGATTTTAATAGATGACATTTTGTTTAAATTTTTAATTTTAATAAAATATAGTTTTTCTTTGGCATTTATTATGTTCACCATTAGTCAGTTCTTTTAAGTTGTGCTTCAGAAACACTCTATGATCCATTCTGTGGAGGTTTATTTTTGTATTTATTGGACTGGTACAGTAGAGACAGTCAAAAAATATTTGAATGTGACTTAAATAAGCCAGAGTTCACAGTCCAGTAATTTAGAGAATCATGCAAGCATTTCATAAGTAAAGGATGAGGACCCATTTATAATTAAGAACTTCCGAGCACGCTAGAAATAGAATTTTCTTAATTTGATCAAGTGTATTTATATAAAAAGTACCCAATCCTCTTGACTGATTAAAAAGTGCCTCAGCAAATGGAACAGGTTGACAGTATAACCATTTCCCCCAAAATTCAAAATTGCTCTGAACCAATGATTGCCATGTGGTTCCCATTCTTCTACTTTCTGAATAGAGATCTTTGTTGTGGTTGTCTTGTCCTTGTGCTGGCATTGAAAGTTGTTTATGTGGAGGACACAGACAATCACATGGCCAATGGTATCCATCCACATCTTACTCTGTTGTAGAGGTTGCTGTGTACCACTCAGCGATATTAGACTCTGATTCAGTAACTGGACAGGATATTGGGTTTTATTCTTTGAGGGAGGATGTTGGTTTTTTTATTCCTTTGAGGGAGGTTTTGAATTTGTTCTATGTATTAAAGAAAAGGAATGAAAAATATTCCATTACCACAAAAGGAATCGATGATAGAGATATTTAAGGTAAGCATGCTAGGATAACCAGACTAGAATATATCACCTCTAGGTCTGATCATAAAACTTCTGTACAACCCTTCAGCTTTCTCAATGGTGACTCTGAGGAACATGTGTTGACATGATGGAACCAAGATGTAAACTGCCCAAAGGCACTGCAAGGAGAACAGGTGATATGGAGAGCGGTGTCACTGAGACGCTAAACCTATGTTATTTAAAACTAGAGGCCCAGTTCATAAAATTTGTGCACTCGGGGATGGGGGTGAGGGTGGGGGTCCTTCAGCCTGGCTTGTGCCCTCTCACAGTCTGGGAGCCCTCGGGGGATGTCCAACTGCCAGAGAGGCGGTAGAGGCTCCCGCCACGCCACCGCAGCTGAGGTTTCTGGCTGAGCGGCACTCCCCTCTGTGGGAGCGCACTGACCACCAGGGGGCAGCTCCAGCGTTGAGGGTCTGTCCCCTGGTGGTCAGTGTGTGTCATAGCAACAGGTCAGTTCACCGTTTGGTCAATTTGCATATTAGCCTTCTATTATATAGGATAATTCAGACAGTGAAAGACAAACTCTGAATGATCTCACCTCTATGTGGAATATTAAAAAACCAAACTCATGATACAGAGAACAGATTAGTGTTTGTCAGAATATCAGGTTGGGGGTGGGTGAAAGGTTGAAGGTGATCAAAATGTATAAACTTTCAGTTACAAGATAAAGAAGTTTATGGCTGTAGGGTACAGCATTGCAAGTATAATTAACAATCTGTATTGTATATCTGAAAGTTGCTCAAAGTTTAGATTTTAAAAGTTCTCATTACAAGAAAACATGTAACTGTGAGGTAATGGACCTTAATAAAACTTATTGTGGTAATCATTTTGCAACATATACATATATCAAATAATTATCTTTTATATTTTAAACTAATACGATGTTATATATCAATACAAAATTTAAAAAAGTTTGCATGATTTCAGGGCTGATCTGTTAACACATTATGCTCTGTCTTTTCTGACATTTATGAAAATTGACATGAGAAATGAGATGCCTGTTTTTTCTGGATGATGCAGTAGTAGATGACAGGAGAAACTCCTGTTGAAGTCTTAGCCAACAGTCATCACTTCCACTTTTGGCCAAAATGGAGTAACTTTCTGACTTGAAACAATAAAAATAACATACATATGTGAAAAAGCAAGACACATGAAACCAGGCAACAAGGACCAGTGATCCCTGAAAGGAGGGAAACCAGTAAGGGTGAGTCCTATAATGGCCTTACCTGCTGCTTTGGGAGAATGTTCAGTCCATACAAGAATACCAGAAAGCACAGACGTGCACAGAGGCAGGGCTGTAAAGAAGACTATTTAGCAGAGGGTTGATTAACACACACATGTGAAGAACATATGCAACACCAGGGAATGAATCACTCAAAATGATAGGAGAGCATATAACCTAATGCTTACACAGCACTGGGACTATTGCTTTTCCTGCTAGCGAGATTGGAAAACCTCATAATCTTGGGAATTGTGTCGAGTACTCAGGAGGATCTCTCCTTAATAGAGGGAGATAATGATCCCTAGCCTCAGTCACTTCTTTTGTTCTACCTTACAAATCTTAAACACAAGACTCAAAAGGATCAAATTTTAAGTCCATGCCAGAAAAAAATGTCAAGAATATTTACATAAATACAAAAATTACCATCACCCAACAAACAAAAGTGGACAGATTCAGATATCTGATACAAACTTATCTGCATACAAGGACTCATGATAATACAATAAAAAATGAGGAGAAAGGCCCTGGCTAGGTAGCTCTTGGTTAAAGTATCATCAAGGTGCGCCAAGGTTGAGGGGTCTCTGGTCAGGGCACATATGGGAATCAACCAATGAATGCATGAATAAGTGGAACTACAAATCTATGTTTCTCTCTCTCTCTCTCTCTCTCTCTCTCTCACTCTAAAATCAATAAATTAAAATATATTGATGAGGAGAAAAATCAATGTATGAAAATTGAACCAGAATTAACACATATGTTAAAATTAGTAGAGAAAGAATGAGTGATAAACTTTTTTTTGCATGAATAGAGTTATCAATGGGCTGTGAGATAACTTCAAATTGTATAGTTAATATGTTTATAAGTGGAGTCTTTAATATTTAACTATACAATGGCTAAAATTTTTAAAATTTATGTAAACCTGCAGACCCAAGAAGCTCAATGAGCCCCAGGAAATATGAATAAAACTACATCAATGCACATCATAATCAAATTGCTGAAAACCAAGGATAAGGAGATTTCCTTAAAGCAGCCAGAGGAAAAAATACACCTGATGTACATGGGAACAAAGGAAATGATCCAGTAGATTTTTCATCACAAACAATGTGCAGGAAGATAGAAGTTAGCAGGACAACCTAGAATTCTGTGTCTAATGATAATATTGGTTATAACTTAAGTAGAAATAAACTCACAGACACAAAAAGTTGATAGGATTAATTGCCAACAGACCCATAGTATGAGAAATATTAATGTCCTTTAAGCAGAAGGAAAAATGATACAAGGTGGAAATATTGATCTGGAAAAAAAAGGAAGAAAAGCACCAGATCTTTCATGTAAAGTGTTAAAATAACAAAAACGATCACATGTTTGCAAAGTTAAACTATATATAAAACAAAGTAAAATCAAAGAAGGCTCATGGTTCTTCTACCTTATTCCTTTCTTCCTCCTCTTCTGCAGGTAGCTATGAAAATTTAAATTAATCTACATTTTTCCTTTCATTTTTTTTTTGAAAATATAGCATAAGTATGCATTTATATAGAATGTGTGTATATACAGGGGTGGACAAAAGGAGGTTGTAATAAAAATAAACTACAGTTGTAATAAAAATAAACTACAAGAAAAAACTGATTCATGTCTTCACAGCTATCAGCTGTATGTGAATAAACACACATATGTAACTCTAGCAAGTAACAGCTTCAAGATTTCCTTTCTCTTTCCCTTCTATCACAACCACCCTACAGGAGACAGCTCAGCCAAAGCATGATTTCAAACTGCATGCCGAAAAGTCCTAACTGAATGCATACAAATACGTCCATAAAATGAATCGCCAAGATCCCTTAGTATAATCCCAGCTCATTTTTTTCTCACCATGTATTTCATGTTGGCCGCGGAGGGCTGGACTGTGCGACGCATTTCATTGTGAGCTGCGACACAGTCCTCTATGAACTTCTTGTCTTCGATGGAAGGTACGGTGGGAGTTTGACTGGCTACCAGATAGAAACCTAAAGTCCATAAGAAATTTAATTTGTTCCCATAAACCATGGCAATACACAGAGGATGCCCTGGCTGTGTGGACTGGTAACGGCTAGGCCAGCCTGCGCTCTGCACCTTGGCCCAACGTTCTCTGCTGGCTTGAGCTCATAGACAGTTGCACAGCAAGCTGGGCCCTGGGGGCGGGGCCAGAATGGACAGGGAACAGGCAGCAGGAGGAGCTGGCCAGAAAGCCCTGGGCTACAGGGGAAAGCCTTGAGTTGCCCCCTGGTGCAGGCATTCAACCATCCTGAAGGCACTGTCTGTGGACCTAATCTGGAATCACCTCGAAGGGCGTCTGGATTGTAATCCAGATTGCAACATTCAGGCAGCACCGTGTCATGCAAAAGAACGAGATGAGCCCTAGGTGCTTTGGCTCAGTGGATAGAGCTTAGGCCTGTGAATTTAGTCCTGGGTTTGATTCCCATCAAGAGAGCATGCCCAGGTTGCAAGGTCTATCCCCAGAGGGGGATGTGCAGGAGCCAGCCAATCAGTGATTCTCTCTCATCATTGATGTTTCTGTCTCTCTCACCTTCTCTGAAATCAATAAAAAATATTTTTAAAAAAAATAGAAAAAAAATGACATGAATTAGATGCTGACAATGGACCAGGCCTGTGCAAAACCCTATGTGTTAGTTTCATAGACTCAGCTTCTGTGTATTGCTTTTTTATTGTTTTAAATAAATTGCAACATCAATCTCTGGTTTCCTCAGAGATTGGGAATAAAGCTAGCATATACTGGATGACGTAGTATGATTCTCTATTATTTTGTCAAAAACTTAATTCAATGACTTGCTTGTTTCAGTATCTAAAGAGAATGACTGCCTAGAAAGATAAAAATAGACACATGGAAAGTGTAGCCAAGTACGTTCTCTGGACAAAATCTCTTCTTGACACTTACCTTTGGAACACACCTGCCTTTTTGGTGACTAGGGAATTTCAGATAAGGACTCATTTAGTTGGTATGCTGAAGACTAGGGCAGAGTACATTTGATTGGTTATTTTACTTACATTGCAATATAAATCCATTTCGTTTGGCTTAATGTTTAAGACCCATTATATCAGTGTTGGAGTAAGTTTCTCCTGGACCCTGCTCAGTTTAGCAATTGTGGGAACACTCACTCCTTTATCCTGCTTGACTATGCTAACTGTAGAGTCCAAGTCCCTGGACGCCAGGTATTAGATGAAGAAGACATGAAAAGTCGTGAGCATATGGGAGAGTCTTTATTGCAGCCCAAGTAGCCATTGCTTCTAAGGAGCCATTAGACAAAGCAATTCTTCAAAGTAGCCTCACAAAAGCAGCCATTGTACACACAGCAGCCTCTTTACGTAAAAGCAGCCTCGGTAAACATAGGAGCTATCACACAAAGTAGCCTGACTAGGCAGCCTCTCACTGGCTGGTCAGTAACACATCTTTATACTAACTTAGACAAAAGAGGCTTCTTGCCAAAATAGTGACCTCAGTATTTGGGTTATAGAAAAGTACGCCTGCACAGTGCATACAGTGAAACTGCTGTGTCCTTGCACCTGCGTATGGCAACTTGGCCTTGAACATCTGGCACACTCTGATCAGGGTTTCCACAATCAGTTATATTATTATTCAATTAAATCAGCACTTTTTATGTGATATTAAATGACATTTAAATATATATATAATTGATTTCAGAGAGGAAGGGAGAGGGGGAGAGAGAGAGAAACATCAATGATGAGAGAGAATCATCGATTGGCTGCCTCCTGAAAGCCCCACAATGGAGATCAAGCTGCCACAATCCAGGCATATGCTCTGACCTGGAATCAAACTGTTACCTTCCAGTTCATAGGACAATGCTCAACCACAGAGCCACACAGGCCAGGCAATGACAGTTTTTATTATTACTGTGTTTCAAGTAAATATATATTTTAAATGTTTTTGTTGATTTTTTTAGATAGAGAAGAAGGGAGAGGGAGAGAGAGAGAGAAAAAAACATCCTGCATACCCCATACTGGGAATTGATCCTTTTACTGGGGAAGGAGGCTCTTGGTGTGGTGCGTGGGACAATGCTCAAACAATGGAGCCATACTGGCCAGGGCTCAGATAAATATCATAATTTGATGATTTGATTTGAGGTTGTTTATAATACTAATTAACTTAAGTGAGCACATATTTATACTGTTATTCTAGTCAATTAAGCTTGCCATTAAAAAACCACAAAATTTTGATGCAACTAGTCATTATCTATACATATAAAAGCCAAGCCACTGGAACAACAGAATGACCAGTATGACCAGTTGCTATGACAAACACTGCAGCAGTCAACTGGCCCAATTGGGGCCCCAATTGGTCTCCCCAACCGCCTGTGGCCCCTTCCCCTGGCCAGCCCTGCCCCCGATTGACCCGGGAATGGGGCTGACCGGCCAACCTCCCCTGTCCCCTTCACTCCATAGGGCAGGCCAGCCAGACCCCACCCATGCATGAATTTGTGAACCGGGCCTCTAGTTTGTTAATAAAATGCAGAAAATTATATTATAAAATGGGGTAAAATACAAGGATCCCAATGGAAATTCTACTGAGAAATACATATTTCTGTTCAATTATCTGCTAATGGAGAATGCCAATGTGTGTTACTTTAACATTACATATACAGTCTAAACTGAGCTTCTGATATACCCTACATCCCAATCCTGACCTTTCCAGAATCTTCCCTATCTCAGTTAATGGCAGTTCTCTCTCTCATTTGTGTATTTTTGTTTGTTTGTTTGGTGTGTGTGTGTGTTTTTTATCTATTGCTCAGGCCTCAAACTTTGGAGGCTTTGGTTCTTTAGCAAATTTTTTAAAAAATATAAATGTCTTTATAGTTTCAGACCTCAATCAGTGCTCATCATTTAAAATGGCATCTCCTCGATTTTATGGATAAATGCAATGGCTTCCTAGTGGATCTTCCTGTTGTCTAGTCTCAATACATCAGTAACAGTATACAGTATAGTTAATATACCTAAATATTTGGAGTGTCTACTATGTACCAGGTATTCTTCTTGGTGCTTGGAATTACAATCATACAGAACAAAACAAAGTAATATGCCTTTCTGGAATTCCAGTGGAGACAAATAATAAATGATAAACATAATAAATAACTTCTACAGTATGATTTTTTTGAAAGGTGAAAACCTCTATCAAAAGATAAATGCAGCCTAAGGTGTTGGGAACACAGCGGGTGTGTGGAGGCGAGGGATAGGGTTGATTTCAAATGGGGTGATCATTCTTTGAGAAGGTGACTTTTAAGTAAATACTTGAAGAGGATGCAAGTGGGAAGCATGTGGACTAGAGGAAGAGAGTTCAAGGAAGGAGGAGATTAAATACAAGGTGGAACTGTAATCCTAGGCAAACACCATGTGGAAAATGGGAGAGCTCAGTGATTACTCTGAGTTGCTGTGCTGCTGCGAGAAGAGTAAAGACATTGAGTATTTTTGACTTTGTTAAATGATGCACAAATGTTAAGAATTTAAGAATAACTATTAAAAGAAAGAGAAATAGCAAACCAATAAAGGGGAAATGACAAATGAAGAATATTTTATCAACCCAATAGAAGTCAAGAAATCAGAATGAGGTGTACCTTTTTTTTCTTCATATATGTATTCAAGGTCGTTAACACGCCTTGAATTATGATGTTGGCTGCAACTCATAATGTTAGGAAGTTTATTGCTTTTATTGCTATTCAGTTATAAATAGTTCATAATTGTCCCTTAGGACTTTTTCTTTTCTTTAGCCATGTTTTATTTTTATTTTTTCAGTTACAGTGGACAGTCAATTTTATTTTATTATTTTATTTTTTATATCAGTATTGGTTTTATATTGATATAACATAGTGGCTTAAAACAATGCATACTTATTAATGTGTAGTTCTATAGGTTAGAAACTTAAAAAAAGTCTCCTGGGGCTAAAATCAAGGAGTTGGCAGGACCATGTTCCTTCCAGAGGCTGGAGGCTCTGGGGTAGGGATAGAAGGGGATGCATCTCCTGCTCTTCTGGCTTCTAGGGGCCTCCCACGACCCTTGGCCATGGTCCTTTCCCCCATCATCCAAGCCAACAATATGGAATCTCTCCAACCCTCCTGTTGTCACATTTGGGTCTCACAGTGACTTCAGCTGGGTAAAGTTCTCTTTCAAGGACTCATTCCATTAGGTTGGACCTACCCCGAAAATCCAGGATAATCTCTCCATCTCAGGGTTCTTGACCTTAATCACATCTGCCAAGCGCCTTTTTCATGTGCGATGGACATTCACAGGTTCTTGGGATTAGGGTTGGGCCTCTCTCTCTCTTTTTTTAAAAAAGGTATCTTTTTATTTCATTTCAAGAAAAATGATTTTAAATATAATAATGTTACATTATTATATAAACACCAATTACTCAAGAAAAAGAGGATCAGTCTCTATGCGGTCTCCACTTTCAGTCCTCGGGTATCAGAGTTCTCTCCTGTGAGTTTTTGTTGATTATTCAGGGAGCCTTTCTGTATTTCAGTTGTAATTCCAGCCTGTTCCTGGGAGCATATCCGTGCAGCATCCACCTACTCTGCCACCATTTTTAATCTCTTCAATATTATTTTATATTAGTTTCAGGTGTACAGCATAGTAGTTAGACATTTATATATAATTTACAAATGATCCCCTGTCCCATTAGTCTAGTATTCACCTGACATAATTATTACAATATTATGGCTATTACAATATTATTGACTATATTACATCCCTGTGACTATTTTGTAACTGACAACTGAAATTCTTACTTTCTTAACCCATTTCACCCACTGACCCTCCCTCAGCTTCTGGTTCTCTGTATCTATGTGTCTGTTTTGTTTGTTTAAATTCCATATCTAAGTGAAATCATATGGTATTTGTCTTTCTTTGGCTGACTAATTTCACTTAACATAATACCATTTGGGTCATCCATACTGTCATAAATGGTAAGATTTCATTTTTTATGGCCAAGTAATATTCC